GAGAGAGGAAGAAAGAAGAGAGAGAAACAGAGAGGGGAAGAGAGAGAGAGAGAGAGAGAGAGACAGAAAGAGAGAGACAGAGAGTTAGAGAGACAGAGTAACAGAGAGAGAGAGAAAGAGAGAGGGAGGGAGGGAGGGAGGAGATCTCCCTCAGCATGAACGTCTATTTCCTTGCCACATGAATGTGAAATAAAAAATAGAACAGGAAATATAACTGTTGATATAGACGAGCTCGATTTGATGAAACATATTATGAGGCATGATGTTGGTTGACTCAACGAGGAGCACACGCTTCACGCTCCAAGCTCAACTGAAGATGAGCAAATTCCCCGAAACACTGTGTGTTGAGCAGGGTGTGGTGCTTTCTTTCAGGTTTGCCGAATAGAAGATGCGAGGTGCTCCTCGTTTGCTCCGGATGGCAGTGGTGAGTCAGTCAAGTGTCAATTTCGGCACAAAGCGTGTGCTCCTCTTTGGAGCAACGAACGTCCATGTCTAATAAGTTCACAATAAGAGGCGTTTGAGATTTCAAGCCTGTTTCCGTGCCGACTTACACAAAATGTCGTTTATACGCAATTTTGTACCTTCAGCGGTTGCAGCCAAGGAGTATTTCTGGGATATTTCAAAATAATGACTCTGGTGTGCCATTGTACATGTAAATGTTATTTGCAATTGCAGTGGGCTCATGTATATCTCTCGTCACCAATACATCATTTCGCCACTTGGTAGAGTCACATGCAATTTTGGATAGTGTAGAACGGGTAATTCTAGCGACTATTAATTGTAGCGTCTTCCCATTGTCAACCGGTTAGCGGAGTTATATTTTAGCGAATTTGACTGATTCGCTAAATTGTACCAGTATTTATTTACTAGTAATACTACACTAGTAGTACTTGTGTAGTATTGGGCACGTCGTGTGGATGTTGTTGTGAGTTCACACTGTGCAACTGTAGTAGACCATGTAGACCGTAGTCTAGTTTAGACTGTGGTACTACCGGTAGTGGTACTACTAAAAAAACTTTATTGAAAATCCATGATAATGTGATCGGAAAGACGATTGAAGAAAAATCCAAACTTGAGTCCAACCCAGGCAAAAATTAGCAGACACTACTATCAAAGCAGATCATTATTTGCAATAGCGCAACTTGGAAAGCCGACCAAAAAGGAAGATATTGAAATTAACAGAAGGCCTCCACAGCAGATGGAAGGCCTTATTTCCACTCACAACTGGAGCAAACGACATTGGTCCAGGAATGAAATTGCTACACGCTTTCGGCAGTATGAAGCTATGCACCCGCGAAAGCAAGTAATCAGCCAGCGGAGTAAAATAAATGAGATCCTGCAGCGCAAATGCGGCATAACTATAATTATCATAACTAAGCTCTGGCTGCTTCTCGACAATGAGCTGAACAATGTTCTTTAGAGCACGGGAATATTCGGAAGCCCACATACCATTGGTCGCGAATATCAAACGCGTGAAGGTGTCTCGCTCAACATCAATCACACGTTGTAGGTTGGCCCGTTTGTTCTGTATTTCGTTACGAGACAACTGGGCAAGTACATCCGATCTCGACAGCAAGGACGCCGAGGGGTGGTAGACCCTCACATCAAAAACTGCATCTTACTGTCGAGACCAGATCCCCCTGCACAAATGTCCAAACGAGCCTCAGGAGAACGATTGGCAGTGGCACAATCCAAAGACTCACCAGTCAAAGGCAGCAACGTAGGCTCTATCCATACATCTGAAATGATGGTCCAAAACACCTCCGCCAACAGGTCCCGAATCTCGTTATGGCGCAGACTAGGGTAGCCCCCTGTTGGACATACCGCAGCGTGATCGAGCGTCATGGCCGCTGCACATAAGCAAGATGATGGTAATTCATCCAGTGGCCAGCCGTAACGAATTGCCAATGCATCACTAAAGGCGGACTTGTTCAGGACGAATCCACAGGAGTCAAGCGGCTCCGCCGTAAGCCAATGAATTTCCCACACCGGCATCTCTGGAGGTTTCAAGCAGAACACGCTGAGGGCCACTTAGGGCGAGGGCCAGCTCTGACAGCTGGGTCCTATGCATAGCAGCACGTTGATTGTTCTGATCTCTCTGGAGAACGCTGGTGTCAGAAACAACCCGAGCCGAAGTCAACACTTTCGACCCTGACCGCAGCATTCGCACGACGGGCCCAGTGACAACTTCACTTATCCGGCGCTGCACCTCTGCGCCCTCCGACACCACAGGAATAGCTAGGCCACCATATCGCACTGGTAATGCCAGCAGCTTCCGCTCCGAATCAGAAACCTCAGTACCGCCAGTTAACGTGGGGATGTATTTATTATTCAACGTTAAAACATCATCCAGTGGTCTGTACGAAGAAGCCGACCCTGGATGATTTTCGGATGTGATAACTCCATTTGCTCTTCATGCCACGAACAAATGCGGAATATGCGGCGTGTGGCTGTGTAAGCGAGATGTCAGCCAAGAGGCTCATCTCCCGCACCCAACTTGCAATGTGCCTATCGAGATTATCGGCAATGAACGACGACTGGCCAACAGCACCTCCCAGGTACCTCGCTCCACCAGTTCGTATTGCAATACCGGTGGAATCGAACATATCAACGGCCGCCCGCTCCAAGTCCGGCTTGACAAGGAGTGTCGTCTTTGAGGCATTGGGGAAATACCCATACTGCGGTCCAATGTCAGACAAAGCCAACCAAAACTTGTGCACGTCCATCATCCTTCCACCAGCCCCGCCTAATCCGCGTACCAGCACTGGCCAATAGATGGGTGGTCACTTGACAGACGTTTGATCATAGGGCTCATGGCCAGCGCAAACAGTGCCATGGCCAAAGGATCGCACTGGCAAATACCCTCTCGAGACAATATCCTGTCACCACCTGGTAGAAACAACGATATTGGAGCCCCATAATATAGGTTTTGGAAGATTGTGGATACGGCAGGACACACACGAGGAACTTTATGAAGCGCTGCCTGTCTGTTAACAGCATTAAACGCCTTAGACGCATCTATGAACAAAAAGGCCTCTGTTTCCGGATCCAAATACTGGCTCTGTACAGCAAGGACCGCAGCCTCACACGCAAATGGCATGCCCGCACAAACCTGAAATGGGGCTACAGCCGCAACAACATCAGTGGAGACGCAGTCCAATATACTTCCAAAATAGCTTTAGCGATAATACGGCGGCGTACTTCACCGACAGTTATCGGTCCCACACCTATACTGGAAGTAGCGCCAGCAGTATCACCAGCAGACTTCTCCAAGGGAACAAGACAAGCTGCCACGAACGTAGACAGAATCTGAGGATCGACCACCTCCCTGCAGAGTCGCTTGGATGTGGCAGCCAACGCCGATGCAAGGTTTGACGATGCTCCCTTGAACACAGTGAGCATTCTCTGCCAGGCAGCCACATCCAGTCCCGATGGACCTCCCGACCCAGAACTCTTCATGTGGCCAGCTGTCTTTTTGAATTTTTCCGCTGAAATCGTTTCAAACATAATCTGGTTGGGAAGATCTGGTTCGCAGTCAAACAATATTCCCTCGGCTGGATCCACAGGAGCAGGGTGTTTCTTTTCAAGCACGTCACGGACCCTCTCACCCCAGGATTGCACCGCAATATCATCAGCCCGGAGAGGTTTGCCACACCGCCTCTCTGACAAACCAGACAGAGCCTGACCTAGTCGACAGCACTGGGTTCAGCATTGTATTCTGAAACGCCGCTCTACTTCTTGGAGAGGAAATTAGCACAGCCATGCAGCTCGAAACCGCGGGATGACTTGCAACAGCGACCGCAGATGAGACAATGCGCTCTGCAGCAGGGCAGGGCAACCTGCTGTTTCCAGACCCAGTCTTCGGATGCCACACGCACACACACACGCACACACACGCGCATATGCGTGCCAAACGTACAAAATCTGGACACGTGTTCACCAAGCACATAGAATATAAAGTAGTGGGGTTTGCCATAACTTTTTTCTTTCAATTTTGTCCAATATATATTTACGAGACTATCCATCGAGCGACACCGTGGATAACATCGAGCCAAACATTATGCATTAAACCAGAAGAGATATCTCTTCACAAGTAGGCAAATAAATGTGCCCGGCAACAGCAATTGGGCGAGTCACAGCATATGCATGTATTGCTACCTCAATGATACACATACACGGTTGATCACGCATGCCTCAAACCGACGGGTCAACCACATGGTGGCCCGGCAACTTCAAACGGGAGCACACTGATAGACACAGACACAGTTGACCACCGATGCATGGAAACTTCAACCAGGAGGGTCAGCCACACAACAACATAAAGCTACCACACTGAGACAGCAACGCACAGCACTGAGCGGCATATAAATTTGACCCTCCCAAAAACCAGTTTTCGCAACCAAGCATTCTTCACGGCATCGCTCATTAGCAAAACTTCCTAAAAAGCAACCATGGCAAACCCCTCTGTGATAGGCACAGAACCACACCGGCAAAAAAGACTGCACAACACGCGGACTTCACGACACTGTACAACACTACAAATGTACCTCACATGTGTTCCCTACACCACAAGCGCTTGTCTACGCAGGCTGGCACAACTGATACTCTTGTACAGCTTGACAGAGAAACAAAGGAGAAAACACGACCTTGGGTCAATTTGACTAACTGGATGACAGAAATTGTTGACAAGGAATTTGCTTTGCTGACACGAGGCACGGCAAAGCGGCCACGTTAATTCTTTTTTCATCCACCATTTTCGGAAAACATAATTATTCATGTGCCTCGTGACGAACCCGTGACAAACACGTGCATGCGTGGGCTAACTTGGCTTTGTTGCTCAGAGCCGTCATTATTCTTGCGTTGTTGGCACTTGGAATCCGTTCAGAAAAGAGTGGCACATTTACCAGAATAACCTGTCGGAGTCAATTATAACGCTACATGTTGTCTAAGATGTTGTTTAGCAACATTAACACAGTCCTGTTTCTTGCTCTGCTTCTCAGCTTACACATGTTTGTTCAGTATTACCAATGGTGCAAGAAGTACAACTGGGCCAGTATACACCATCACATGTAACACAGGATATTACCTGTCTGGTAACACAAACACTGTCACCTGCACTGAAAACAACGGACATACCCAACTACCGTCATGCAGGCGTAAGTGCGCAGTTTTAGAAGTTTAGTATTGGGCGCCATTTCAACACCGTGAAAAGTTCGACCGGACATTTAAGCAGTATGAAGATACTCACAACACAGGACAGTCTGTCAAACTGAATTTCACCATTGTGATTATTAAGCTTTGGGTCATACCTTTTCGGTTGTGTTACTACCCACCATCGTCCGAGATCAAATCGAGAGAAGGAGAGAGTAAGTTACATTTATAAAGACAGGTAAGTCTAACAACTGAGGACTGAGACCTCTACAACAGGGTTTTTACGCCTAAAATCAGGTGCATGATTTAACAAGCAGGTTGTCAGTCTAGATTTTATGCGCAGATGGAGAAAAAATGCGCAGAATTTTTGTAATGAGATCAAAAGCAGAAATAATAAGAAATAATACGAAAAGATGAAATGACAGCCTGCTCACAACCCCGCCCAGCCTTGCGAACTAAGTATGGTGGATTAAGAACCCGGTTCAACGCTCGAGCAAGCGCTCTCCACTCAAGGCGTTCACAGCAACTGATAGGAACTCATATGGGGAAATTATAGAAAAGAAATAATGAGATAAAGAGAATAGATTTCAACGCCCCTCAATAAACGGAGCCCCACATACGAGAGAGAGAGAGAGAGACAGACAGACAGACAGACAGACAGAGACAGAGTCAGAGATACAGACAGACAGAGAAGGAAAGAGAGAGAGAGAGAGAGAGAGAGAGAGAGAGAGAGAGAGAGAGAGAGAAAGAGAGGAAGAGAGAGAGACAGAGAAAGAGAGAAAGAGGGAAAGAGGTAGAGAGAGAGAGAGAGATAGATACAGAGAGAGAGGGAGAGAGAGAGAGGGAGAGAGAGAGAGTGAGAGAGAGAGAGGGAGAAAGAGAAAGAGAGAGAGGGAGGGAGAGAAAGAGAGAGAGAGAAAGAAAGAGATGATATGGAGAGGGAGGGGAAAAGACAGAGAGAAAGAGAGATATAGAGAGACAGAGAGAGAAAGAAAGCATGAGATAATATACGGATGAGAAAGAAAAGTGTAGAGAGAGAGAGAGACAGAGAGAAAGAGAGAACGAAAGAGAGAACGAAAGAAAGAAAGAGAGAGAGAGAAAGAGAAAAAATGAGATAGAGAGAGACAGATCTTCCTCAGCATTGATCTATATTTCCAGGCCACGTGAAGGTGAAAATAATATTAAAAAAGGAAACGAGGGAGCTTGGAAGCTCAGGGTCCTACGCTATGCTTTTTTATTGCAAAACGTTTCCATCTGTTCGAATAACATGCATGATGAGCTAGGGCAAAAAGCATAGAGTACGGCCCTGAGCGTAAAAAATAAACTTTCTCTTCTCGCTCCAAATATTCTGGCATACACAGAGACATAGACAGACATAGACTTTTACCACTGGACATCATGGAAGAATGGTTGGCCAGTCCAGTTTGCAGCAAAGGAGCGCGACTATTCGATGTCTATTCGATGTCCAAGTGAGCTTCTGCGTCGATGTTGACTACCACACTCCATCATTCACCCCAATGTCTGGAGATATGTGGATTTTGTAGAAAGAAAAAAAAACTGACTGAAGAGACGGAGCTGTCCAGCTAAGATACAGGAGTTGGCGGATGAAGGTCCTGCCAGGAGGAACCACCTTCGCAGCAAAGACAAGGTTCCGATCAGCGACAACAGTTCCCGCATTTTGTAGCTAGTGAGCGTGGACTACTCCCTCAAAGCCGCTAGAAAGAGTTGTGATATACAGTAGTGCTATCACTGATTGAAAAATCCTTGTGTAGTGTAAAGATGGAATTTGACCTAAGCAAACTCACTATCACCTATGATGGGAAAAAACTCAGGACTGAGAAACAACTCTGGTGGATTCACCAACAAAATATTTCCAAAAAATAATGGGGAACTTCTCAAGCAACGAATTCGGAAGAATCGGAAGAGATATCCGATTGTCACACCACCGTTCACAGTCTCAAAGTCAGTATCCAAAGGGATTTTGAAATCGTTCAGCTATGAACCGAAAGAGAATTCCATGAGGTGTTTCTTCACCGCGAAGGATCTCTGAATCCAGGAATCGACTGCAACATTTACATACTTCAGTCATATCTGCTGGGGAGTTACTCTGAGTAAGGCCTCTAATTTCAATCCACTCACACAATTTCATGATTGCCTGCGCCTTCACATCGTCATTCTGGGCCAGATCAGAATCCACTGCATCATAAGCAAGACGTTTCAGAGACTTCGTGTTTACTTGCGTACAGTGAAAAACAGGTTCGAAGATACAAGTTGATCTCATTCGCTATACGAGTACCATCCTGATTTTCAAGTGCGTTCAATATTCTAGCGTGGCTGCGTGTACGAGCAGACTAAACTGTGCCTCTTATGTGGCGCACCCAGTCAATTTATCTGCCAAACGCCACGGTTCTGCGCGTCAGGTTTATAATCCTGGCACACCACACTCTTGCTCAGATCAGTCGTGCCTGTCGCGCTTCGGGTCTGCCTGCCTGATTCGGTTCCAAAACACTCTAGAGCAAGCTTTTCTTCAAACGTCAAAGGCTTCTTGACGGACTCTGTATGCAGAAACCCACTGTACCCTGGAATGACTGGGTTCGAGTACATGTACAATTTCCGTATGCAGCGGAAGATCGCCATATCTAACAAACGGACAATTTTACAGACTTGCCGATACTTTTATCGTCTTCAGCAGCCACAACTACGTCAGAAACAGCTCAAAAATATGTGTGAGCTCCTATTTGCCGCGAAACTTCTAAAATATGACTCTTTTTCGAAATGGGACCCAGCACTAATGTTGGAGAGCTTTTCCAGCAGCAATTTGTGCTTGACAGAGTCGAACGCTTTGGACATGACGACAAATGCTACGCCTGTTTCTTTCTGCTTACTACATGGCCATTAACCAGCGGTTTACCGCTAGGACAAGGGCGTCCTCAGTGCTGTGTCGCCTCCTGTATGCAAACTGCGAAGTAGGGAGGAGATCGTTTTTCATTATGTATGATATGAGTTGGGCCTTCAATAATTTCTCCAGTAGACGAGATATAATTGGCAGGGTAGACATAGGCCGATAGGAAGCAGCTAGACCAGGATCAAGGCTACCACCCTTGAACAAGGGAAATACATGAGTGAGCTTGAACTGGCGTGGAAATCTGCTGGTCGAGAGCGAAGCATTGAATATCATGCACAGAGACAGAGCTAATTCTGCTGCGGACTTCTTCAGAACACTACCTGGCAATTCATCATGGCCTGTGGCTTTGGATGAATCAACGGACAGCAGTAGGGTATTGACTTCTTCTGTAAGGGCCGGTGGAAACTGGTTGAATGTATTGGGATCGTTACATATTGAACCATCCGGAAGCAGGCTGGACGGGCGCCCAGGATCAGATACCACTTTCCCAAACGCTGCAGCGAGCTCCTCCGCAGCTACCAGGAGCGGAGGTGTTGACTTCGTCCGACCACTGACGGCATTCACAATGCATCACATCTTTCGAAAGTCTGACCCAGCAGCCTCCAGACATTCCTTGAAGTACTGGTTCTTCAGCTTTCTATCCAACTACCGTGCAATTGCACGAAGTTTCCGGTAGTGGTCCCGCAGCTAAATAAGCAGTTTGGTCCCGCAGCGAATAAGCAGTTTGTGGCGGGATTGCGCTGCCGTACAGCTGAAATAAGCTCGGGGTACGGACAAGGATGACGGTCGGTTTTACGCGGGTTACGAAGGGGTGCGTGACGGTCAAGAACAGCATGTACCTTTGGATAGCACTTGTTTACCATGTCATCTACATCACTACACTGGTTGAAGTCATGGAGGTTTGCAGAACGTAGATCTGAGTTAAAGCGACTCCAGTCAATTTTCCAGAGGCGTCTTGCCTTTGGTGCAGCTGTCACAGCTTCTTTCGCAGTTGCTTCCAGTTCAGCAGTAAATGCGTAGTGGTCACTGATATCACATTCAATCACTTTACAAGTCTTCACTAGTTCAGAGGGTGCAAGAAGAAGATCTTAGAGGGTGGAAGATGACGATGGTACTCTTGTGGCGTCCGTTACAGGGTTGATGAGGTCGAAGCGGCAAAGCAGGACGAGCATTCGACTATTTCCGGAACACAAGTCCGAGTTGATGTCGCCCACGGCCACCAAGCGACTGTGGGATATACGGTCCAATGTGGCCAGACTGACCAGACTAACTTCAAGATACTGCCACAGAGAGCAGGGGCTGGGCGGTGGGAGATAATATGAGGCCAGAATGATTGAGTCACCAGTCGCAGCCTTGAGCGTTAGTATCAAGTTCTCAACTGACTGGCTTTCCAAGTCAATATGTCCTCTGATCGCAAGCGTTTCTCGACAGTAAACTGCAATGCCACCGCCTGCTCTATTGTCTCGATCGCGTCTAAATAATTTTAAAGAATGTGGAATATGCATACTAGAATCGGATATTGTTTCATCTAACCAAGTCTCCACAACAGTAAAGATATCTACGTCATTATCTATTATAAACCGATTTACTTCACCAAGCATCTTGGTAAGGCTGCATACATTCAGGAATGCAATGTTACATGACTTACGGTTCGTGATGGGGAGGGCAGTACAGGGCATAATTAATTAACTGTGATGCGTAGTTGTTCAGCTTCCTGGGTTGGGCTTGACCTTGCGGAATACTGAGCCTTCCGACATGCGCACGTCTCCACTGCTACTGGTAGAATATGATCTCCATCGTCGCCTTCTCTTTATTCGCGATCTCTGCGATTCGACTTATGTCCAGCCAATACCTCCAGACTGGGGGGGGGGGCAGGTGTCAGCAGCAACCCCAAATGCCGGCGGTGATAATTTGAAGTTTGAACCAGCTGAAAAAATCGAACTTAGAAAACAAAATGTAATATTTAAAACTCGTATGTTGAGCCATACATAAATGTAAAAAGTATCATGTTACAGTGATGGAGAGTTACTCTTAAGGAGGCTCCCACCTAAAGAAGCAAAAATAAAAGGTCCATGGACACCCTGTTTTTTATGCATAGAA